TAAAGCATACAGGGTGTGGGACTCATTGATATGTATTTTTAGTTGTATATATGACATTAAATATATAATAGCAAAATTATTTATATTTTACATAATTTGCGCATGTGTTTTATTTTTCAAGTTATTTATTAGTTTAACACTAGAACACAAAAACAAAAAAGACAGCTTAACATTAATTTAAATTCGTTAATAATCAAAGATAATACATGACGCGTACAACATAAAAATAAAAAACTATACTAAACGCATCCATGTGTTTGTTTAGTCACTATCGCCCATTATTCTATGCTTCAACCACTTAAATTTCTCTTCCAATCGATTATTTTCTTCTTCTGCCTCTTTTAGTTTCTCATTAACTGCCGCAAGTTGTTCTTACAGTTTCAAGATCTGGAGTTCGTACTACCGGTCAGATTCCAAATGTTTAACAAACATGATTTGTAGTATTTCCGGTTAATGGGTCGACAGCTTTTTTAGGTCAACATGACAATACATATAACGCATATTGGTGATGCGCTACGTTTCGCGTGATAAAATTCTTAAGGGTACAAGTGGGTGTAGCTTTTCAGATCGACAGCTTTTTCAGGTCAACAACTTTTTTAGGTAGACATGAGAATACACATAACGCATATTGGTGATGTGCTACGTTTCGCGTGATAATGATTCTTTAGAGTACAAGTGGGTGCAACTTTTCAGATAGATAGCTTTTTCAGGTCGACATAGCAATACACATAATGCATATTGGTGATGCGCTACGTTTAATATACAAGTTCGTGCAGTTTAGTTCTTAAGTTGAACCAAGAGATCGGTATTCAAACATCATTTCAAGAACCATTACAACATCCATTTCATAAATGCCACCAACATTTAATAAGTGGTTTAAGAAGAGGCAAAAAGGTGAAGGTAGTTCAACAGATCTACATGGAACACGTCATAACACAATCGATCCTTACCTTGAAAAATATATGCTAGGTTATTATACTGATTTGGTTGATGACAAGTGGTATGGTGTTCTACGTCCCTTGAAAAATAAGTCTATCAATATACACACTGAACTCAAAGTTTCGGAGGCCAATAATGCTCAGCACCCACTGGCTGCAACTGTCCACTATAGATGTTTACGTATGCAGCAACACCATATTCTTTATCAACGTACCTCGTTGCTGCAAAACTTATATGTTGAAAGCACTTCATGGCAAGCGATAGATTAACCATTTTCCACACGAGCATAATCTTCTGGATTCTTTGACGATGTGTGTATTATTCCCATGGTTTTGATGCAAACCAGTGCGAACTTCAAAAATATTTTGCTCGCTGCAATACTATAAAAATGTATGCCACTATGCTCGCTTTCTATATTTCTCAAATCGTTTCATTGGTTGTGGTATAAATTCAACACCTCTTTCCATCAATGACGATGCACCTCTAGATCTTTCAACAAACCTCTCCGCCATCTGCTTGAATGACATCCGCACCATGGCAGTGACAGAAAATCCACGTGTAGACTTCAACAACCCATTGAAAGTTTCTGACTTATTGTAGTCAAAATTCCCCATCTTCTACCACCATCATTATGTAAAGTCCACTCGTCAAGCTCATGTCGCATCAACCAACGATAGGCTTCTGGGTCTTCTCACCTAATCAATTCCATTCACCTCCTGAATATACACTCTTAGTGATCTGTTACAGCCATCCACATAAAATCATGGAAATCCTTGTTCGGATAAGCCCTCCAGAAGTTGGCCTTCAAGTTTTTAACACAGTAACGGTGGTAGGCATACGGTTCCTGCCAGGCACGCAAATTCTGTACAGAACTTAAAATAACACCATGCCTATTAGATATTAGACAAATACATGAACGCTATCTGACAACGTACTCCTTCAAGTGGTTCAAAAATAATGTCCACGTCTCTTGGCTTTCATTGGAACAAATAGCAAATGCGGGGGGAAATATGCTTCCATTAGCATCTACTACAACGTCGATCAACAACTTAATATCATAATTTACATAGATATGAGTGTCGTCTATGGATATTACCGGTCGATAATGTACAAAACCATCAATGGCTGGTTTAAATGCCCAGAACATATATTTGAATATGAATTCTTATATTTTCGGACTCCGCTCAAGCTTCTATTCAACAACAGTCCTGGGGTTAAAGAGTTTCAATGTAGCCATGTACCTGGGTAGAGCGGCAAAGGACTTATCTCAGTTACCATAAATAATATCAAACATACGTTTACGCCCTAGAAATACCTTTCTTTTGGTAATGGTACATCCATATACCTGGTGGACAGATGTTATTCACTCTTTACTCTTGTACCTTATGGACGATTCAATATGTGGAATCAAGATAAGAGAAATCAAGTCAACATTTAAGTTAAAATGATTCCCACTGAATGCGTCTATTTCGCAAGTGTGGGTGCCAATGTATTTCCCAATAATCCACATATTTATTTTCAACTTTCTTGCGCGCAGCATCCATGTACAACCTTGAAACCATCTACAACAAATAACCTTCTATACTTCCGGAGATGACTCATGAACCACAATCTCGCGACACTCTTTTATGCTGTACATTCGCACCGCCCTGCTTAGGCCCTCTTTATCAGCAAAAAAGGATATTCTTTGACAGCACCATTGGTCTAGATTCATCCCACATTATTGTCAAAATATCGTCAAGATCCCTTGAGAGGGCATCCATATCCGGCATACTGGGTAACTGATCAAGGTAGGGAATCTCCCTTGAATGAACGACACATGGGACTCGTACACTCTCGGTCTAATGGGAGGTGGAGTTTTCATATATGGATCATGTTCATTGGCGGCATCATGCTCCCTCATCAAATCAGGTTTATCATTCTCGTCCTCATCATCATCACCCTCATCAGGGAAGGGTGTATCATCTCCAAACTCATTAACATTGTTGTCATAATCACTATCATCTTTCTGACTCTGCGCATCTGCGAGAGCCCGATTAAATATATCGTCTTCGGGCAATTGTGTAAGGACAGGACCTTCAAGTTGCTCGTTTTCACAGCACAACCAATAAAATAATGAGTTTCTCAAATTTATCCAAAAATTACATATAAATTTTATCACTTAACTTACAAATCATAATCTGTTGATATCTCATGATGCACATTATCATGTTGTTGATGACTCCCGGATGGACCACCATGATCCAACACATCAAAACTAGGCATATTCCAACAGTCTTTTGGTTCATAACTTGTAAAATTTATATCTGGGTGGTACCCCCTTTGGAATATATGAGTGTTAATACAATTAAAATACATTTAAAAAAAATATCGTAATATAAAGGAAAATTAAAATGTACCACTCAGCTTCTGAATTATGTAAACTTGGGGAGAAATTATGTCATCGCTCCTCATTCGCTCGTGGAGATAAGTTTAGATATGGCCAAACTCTTTCAAACTGAACTTGTTCGAATAAAACTGCTCCAAAAAAATCACCCGATGATTGAGGGTATCCCTATTTTACAGAACCTCAATATTGCAACCGTCTTTAGCCTTGACGTACATTTTTGACAGTTTTATCACAATAAGTTCCCGGTGTTCATCCGGAGTCCTCAAAAAATCTGTCTGAGTTCCATCATCTTCGTTGTTAAACTCAGCTTAACAAGCAACCCCTTGCGGAGTAACAGAATACGGATATCTTTCAGTTGTTTTAATATTAACTGAACGTTTCCTCACACTCATTTTTTTACATAACAACGATATCAATCTATCATACTCCATTGTAAGTGGCAACTTAACATGACACTGTGGAGAACAACTATAGCGTACTGAGTTATTCTCCACCACAACCTCACTCCCCCAATATAATGCAACCCTAATTTTTCGCTCTTTGGGCATTATGACAAAATGCAAAATAAGTTAAGCAAACAAATATTTCGGAAGACCTCAAGGATCCTAAATGATTTTTACCGAAATTCTGAAACTCTTTAAATAAGCAAAAAAACAGTCCGGGGATACAATAATTGAGGGTATAGGGCATGCATAATATGCGCTATATATAGCGCGTATCATATATGCGTTGTACCCTCAATTATTGGTAGGTCAGTAAAGTTCAGATGAATTATTGGTGGGTCAGTAAAGTTTACATGTAGCGCATGTAACCCATGCGTTATACCTTAACGAACAAACGTGTCGTTAAGGTACAAGGCATTGAAGAAATATGTTATATATAAATTGGTCATCGGTTCTTTTTTTAACCGATTTTGTGGTTTGAGTCTAAAAAAACAACAATTTGGTTCCGGACTCTACTGTATACTATTTCGTTAGATTTTGTACATGAGTAAAACTCAAGGAAAGTGAGGTGAGATCCAACTACTTGAGTAAAAAGAAAAAAGAACTGCTATACTACCTGATTGGTAGTTGATAGCTGCTTTTATCATTGCTGGTTGGCGGAACTTCTTGTCATATATGATTATTACTCCTCACCCATTTTTAACTTCAGACAAGACCTAATCATTCATTTTTGGGTAGGTTTACTACATTAAATTCAACCAACATGTCCACGAGAATACTCTTTTTAAATACCTATTCGCTAAAGAAACTAACTCTCCACGACCACTACTAAGGTAGGTAATAAAAAGTTGGAATTTCTCCGTTCTTAATCAAAATCAAAAGTCTGGTATTATTAACTATGAAAGAGCAAAAAATATGTTGGTAGCAAGGGAACACTTTAGCTCCCTTTGTGGATTTTTACGGTGGGAATTTGAGTTAGTAGTGCCATGAATTTCACATATCGAATACCTTTAAAAAAGAAAAAAAGAAAAAAAAGAAACTACAACCCAGACTTGGTTATAGATTTTTTGAAAATTTAACCCTTGGGATATGATAAGATATATGATTCGTTGTTGTTTAATTTATTCTATCTTTGAAATAGACTACGATTGAATAAATGTGCAAAAGTGATTCTGTAAGAACTATAACAACACACAGGAAAATAATTATCCAAAGAACAGAGATGAAAATTGGGCTGAAGCATAAAGTGAAATGAATTAAGATAAAGAACTGAAAAATACAAAGATACTCCTAAACACAAAGTGTAGACCCAAAGGTCAATTGTCAATGATAAAGGGAATACAAAAAAAAAAAAAAAAAAAAAAAAAAAAAAAAAAAAAAATTCCCTTTCCAAAGACAATACATTTGTAATCTACACATCTTTGGCTCTCAAATTCTCAAGTACAACACCACTATTGCGCATGATATTCTAAACCATCATAACTTGGGACAAGGAGAGCTAGAAATTAAAACCACTAAAACAAAACATTGACATAAATAGAGTACAACAATAATTTATCATTCATAATCATCAAACTTGAGAACTGCTCCTGAATGAACCAAGGGCTTTAGCTGCACCTGCTCTCAATATGAATTGATGGTAGAATGCTGCAATGGCTGCTCCAATGAAAGGTCCTACCCAAAAGATCCACTACCAAAACATGAAAGAAATTAATCAACACAAAGTACTAAGTAATAAATAGTGAAATATATATATATATCACATACGTTTACTCTTAAAATTTTACAATGTTTTCTATAAAATCATAAATCTTTAATAAATATAAAATTTTTACACTATCAAGTCACTTATTCATAATAAGTAAAATTAATAACCTAGAAGATAAGGTAATTAGTAACCTTGTAAGTCACGTCAAATTGCACCAAGTATGAGTGAATATATATAACTTAAATGCAAGAAAGGGAGAGGGGCTTACGTGGTCTTTCCAGGCTTTGTGTTGGTTGAAGATAACGGCAGCGCCAAGACTCCTAGCCGGGTTGATTCCGGTGCCGGTAATCGGAATGGTGGCTAAGTGAACCATGAAAACTGCAAATCCAATTGGGAGTGGTGCCAACACCTAGTATTCAACAAAACCACATATATATTCATTGCTCTAACAAGATACTCCAGATCAATTTAATACTATATATTAAACTCTACTTTTGAAGTGTGCCATATTAAGAAAGACAAAAAAGGGCAAGCCAATCAAAGTTCAAAGTAAAACAACTATATGGAGATGCAATGGACTATTTGCGCTTGTACAACATAAGGAAATAAATACTTGAACTTGTGAACCAAATGTAACAAATATATTTTGTGTAAATTATTTTCAAATATGGAAAGGTGTAGTTACTATGACCCTCAAATACTTTTTTCTTTTTCTTATGACATATTTAATTATCAAGTTAAGGATTGAAAAACACATGGGAAGTTGAGGAATAAACTTAAAAAACATACTTGCTCCATATATAAGAAGGATTAATCTAGGGGGAGCAAATGGAAATTAATAATTAATATATTCTTACAGGGACATGAGAATCTCTAGCATTCCTCTTGGGATCAGTGGCAGAGAAAACAGTGTAAACAAGAACAAAAGTGCCGATGATCTCCGCCGACAATCCGACGCCGTGACTGTAACCGTCGGAGAGCATATTGGCTCCGCCGTCATAGCGGTGGTAGTAAGCTGATTGGAAAGCCTTAACTAATCCAACGCCACAAATGGCTCCCAAACACTGAGCCACCATATACATGAGTGCCCTAATTAGGGATACTTTCCTGGCCAAGAATAGTCCAAATGTGACTGCCGGATTTATATGACCACCAGAAATACCAGCGGTGCAGTAGACAAGGACGAAAATCATGCCACCAAAGGCCCAAGCAATACCAAGAACCCCAACTCCAGCACAAGGATCACTTGTCGTTGCACTTTGGTTTTTGTAACCAATGACGGTCAGAACCGTTATGTAAAGGAATAGAAGAGTGGCTATGAATTCAGCAATGAGTGCTCTGTAAAAAGACCATTGGGTTAGCTCCTCTGGGTCTATCAGTGGTGCTGGCGGAGGATCTTGGTAGTCTTTGGTCGTGAACGATCCTTCACTATTCACGTTCTTTGCCATTTACCACTATGTATTTTCTTTCTTGACTAATACTAATATTTTTTATGAGAGAGAGAGAAGTGTGGGTAGAACAGAGTGAGAGATATACAGGTTTATATAGGGGAAAGGACCCTTATTTTATTGTCACGTTTCGATCTTTCGTATCTCACTTTTTAGCATGATAATAATAAGGTTATTCATTTATTTTGCAAAATCTACCTATATATTTTTTATGGAATAAAGTAAATTACTTCCCAAAAACATTTCAAAATTCAAACTGATGAGGCTAGAGTTTCATTCCATTATCTCCCAATATCCTTAAAATTGGCAATATTGCAATAGCTCATCTAATTTGAAACCAAAAGGAGATCATGAAATTAGCGTTATTTTTGGCATTTCAAATTTGAACAAGGTAGAAAAATGACATTTTTTTATTTAAATTAATTTAATTTTATTCTAAATGAGATGATCTATATATAATTATATTTTAATTTCTTTTTCTTTCTTAAACTCTCTAAAAAATACAACATAAAATGTGACGGCAGAGTAATAGGCAAATAAATAAATTGGTACTACCTCCGTTCCAGTTTATGAACTTATTTCATTTTTGGTCCGTTCAAAAAAGAATGACTTCTTTATAAATTTGAAAATAATTTTGCTTAAACTTATAACTCTACCCTTAATGAAAAACTTTTATAACCACACAAATATTCTGGGTCTCTTTTTGAATTGTTTAGGACCACAAATTTCAAAAAAAAATATTTTTTCTTAAATTTTGTATACAATCAAACATATTCACAGGAGAAAGTAATATTGAAAAGGAGTTAGTACATATAATTGGCGGTCCACGGGAAAATAAGTTTGAAGAATTTCGCTTTCACCGACCCAACAGACACAGCTCGTCAGCCCCCCACCCACTTACCACACATTTTTTCATTTTATTTAACGGCTACTTTTACTACTTACAAAGTCTCGTGCACCGCATTCAAGTCACTCATGTTTCACCCATTTGGCAAAAGAGACAGTTTATTATGGGCAAAAGGATGAAGCTAATAAACAATTATTTTGATTTTTTTTTTTACATAAGGAAGAAAAAATAATTGTTTTTGTGTTATCAGGACAGTAATAGTATGTCTTTAATGAACTACAATAGTTTTGTCGTATAGTTTTTGAGTTGTAAGAGGTGAAATTAAGTCTTGTGGATGTGAAGCTAGCGTCTTTCACTTAAACATAAATGCTGAGATACATTATGGGGAAGTTTCACCTACTAATCTACAGATGTAAACTTCAAACGGATATATATACCAGAATTACTAACTTTCCTTCACTTAGCAAATCTCACCCCAAAAAAGATATTTTGTAATAAGCTGTCTACGTTAATTAATATCTTAGAAGTCCAGCCCTAATCTGCTTGATAATTTTCTTTCCCTAATTGCTTGCGAAATATTCAACAATTACATCAAGTAAAATGCATACGCAATACTTCCTTTACTTGTAAAATAACGTTGAAAGAAGACATGATATGATAACTAGTTCCAAGCAACTAATGGATTTAAGGAATTGCAACGATCATTATTGACTCCCCATTTTTGCCCGTTACGGTCGGCAACTATTTTCACTTAAACAATTTAATTCACCAATTGGCTGGCAAAGTGGTTTGATTTAGGTGAAATATTGTTTTGAAAATTGTCAGGAACAGCTAGTCATTTTATAGTTTCTAGATGCCAGTTATCTTTCTTCGAAGCTTAGGGTCCCTTTGCGTTGAACTTAGTCTTGATTCACTTATATTCTACTTTTTATGTTTGATAAAAGAGAAATGGAAAGAAAAGTTTCCCCAATAGTGATGCAAAAGCAAGAAATCCCTATTTGTGCCAACTAGTTAGGGTGATCGTAGTGTGCAATTTGGCATTTGGTCAAGTGATATTCTAGTTTTACTTGCCCTATATAAGATGAGGGCTTAATGCTTACTCGTACCTCCCTTCCCTTCATTTTTTTTGGAGTTACCCATAGCTTGTACTCAAAAAAATAAAAAAATAAAAAAGGAGAAAGGAAAGAAAGGTACCTACGGGTGCTATACCATATTTAATTTTATAAAACATGCGAATTTAGATTTATTAGGCAGGATTGAAGCATAGAATTAAAGACATGTTCGGTCTTAAGGAGATCAATGGCCATGGGAATGCGTTTTCTGAAAAATGACTTATCTTTTAGAAATATTTTCCTGAAAAAGCTTTTCAATGTTAAGTTGGAGAATGAAAAATATTTTGTGAAAAAAATATTATTATTAAAGATTGGTAACAATTAGTAAATCGGATAGTGTTTTGGTAAATATTTTAAATATTAGAGATTGATAAGAACGTCTATATATTGATTTGAGATATAAAGTTAAGAATTGAGATAGCACTTATGAAAAATAACTTTCAATAAAATGTGAGGAAAGTCACTTTCTCCCGCTTGTCAATACTATGGTCACCTATACAGAAATTTTCAAGTATATAATTAATAGACATATATAGAATTTTGGCAAGGCTATATATGGTCACCAATACAACTAATTAGGGCAAAGGGTCGGAGGTAGAGGTTTAGTAGGGTTCATTCAAATTCAATATGTTCGGCTTGGTGCTTGTATATATGTTAGTAAAATTTATTAAATAAGTTAAATAATTAACTTCAAACCCAATAAATCAAATGAGTTGCAGTAAAACCTCAAACTTGAACCATAAAGTATTAAAAATTTAGCTCCTCCTCTACAAGTCTTATGGACTAATTCTCTAACAAATTGCAGAAACAGATCGAGGGATAAATTCGATCGCCCTATCCCTATTATATCGTTGTAGAAGGAAAAGCCAAAGATAGTAGTAACAATCTAAAAGAATTGCTGTAAAAGGTAATTCGAGGATAAATCTTGGTTTGAAAATCCTATATTTCAACGCTTAAAAGGAAAAAAATCATCTTTTTGGCCCGAGGCACAATGTTCTTGAACTATATTGTTCGAAATGAAGTATATTATAAAAAGAAGAAACAAAGGAAAATCTAGGAAGTTCACGAGAAACCAATCAGAGCACAAGTATAGGAGGATACTCTTTTTTGTCTTTTTTCCTTTAAAATTACTTACCAAACCTAACCATAAAATAATGTTTTAATTTTTGTTTTTCAGTCTTGAAAATTTGGACCAGTTGCATTAAGAAAAACCCAGTTGCATGAGTAACGATCTTGTATATATTTGTCATGTTATATTTTCTTGCCACTTAATGTCTCTTTGAAGCCCCTATTTTTTGTCCATTTCTTTCGGTTTGATTATGTTCTAGCATCACGGTACGGTTTTAGAATAATAAGAGTTATAACTAATCAGTGTTAATGGAGCTATAGATATTTGACTAAGTTAGCTACTCACTTGTAACGACCCGACCGGTCGTTTTGAGAATTAGTGTCTCGTTCCGTGGTTTAAGATCTCGAGTAGTTTCGTATTGTGTATTATGACTTGCGTGTATGGTCGGATTCAATTTTCGGGTGATTCGAGATTGATTTGGAAGAAAGGTTCTTGTTTTAGAAACTTAAGTGGTAAGAGTAGATCGGAGTTTGACTTTTATGTAGACGACTCCGGAATGGTATTTTGATGATTCCAATAGTTTCGTATGGTGATTTTGGACTTAGACGTATATCCGGATTTAAATTTGGAGGTCCGCAGGTTGATTTGATGCATTTTGGCGAAAATTGGAAAGTTGAAGGTTTGGAAGGTTGAGAGGTTTGATCGAGAGTTAACTTTGTTGGTATCGAGTTCGGATTGCGATTCCGGAAGTTGGTATAGCTCCGTTGTATCATTTTGGGACGTGCATGCAAAATTTGAGGTCATTCCGGGTTGATTTGATATGATTCGGTGCGAGTTGTAGAAGTTGAAAGATCGTTTGTTCATTAGGCTTGAATTGAGGTGCGATTTATAGTTTTGATATTGTTTGTTGTAATTTGAGGCCTCGAGCAGGTCCGTATTATGTTATAAAATTTTTTGGTATGTTCGGACGGGGTCCCGGGGGCCTCGGGTGTGTTTCATATGGGCTAAGAGTATTTTCTCTATATTTTGGAACGTTGATGGCTAGTGTCTGGTGTTCTTATACGCGATCATGAGGTGTAAGTCACGTTCGCGTAGTGTATTTTGTGATTGGCAGAATCCCTTCTCCGCATTCGCAGTGTCGAGGTCGCGATCGCGGACATATGGAGAGCTAACTCATCGGGTTAGCGGTGTTGGGTCGCAATCGCGTAATGGGTGGTCAGGCTGGGAAGGCCATGAGCTTTAACCTTCGCGGAGGAGCCTCGAGTTCGCGTAGGTTTGGAGTGTTGGTGCATCGCGTTCGTGTCTGTTCTTCCGCATTCGCGTAACATATTTTTTGGCACCTCATGATTTTGTTCTTCGTGATCGCGTGGGAATATTCGTGATTGCGATGCATGTTACCTAGGCAGAATATAAAAGTACTCTATTTCGAGGGTTATGATATATTTATCACTTTTTGAGCTAGAGAGCTCAGATTTGGGCGATTCTGGATGGGATTTTCACGCTTTCGATTGAGGTAAGTGTTCTTGACCCGGATTTGATTATATTCCATGATTTCATCTTTGTTTTTATCATTAAATTAGTGATTTGAATTGGAAAAAATGAGGAGTTTTGTAAAAAAATTCTGAAACACAAAAATGATGATTTGAAGGCCGATTTGATGATGGAATAGGATAATTTTGGTATGGTTGGACTCGTATTGGAATGGTTGTTCGAATTTTGTGAGTTTTATCCGGTTTTGAGGTACGGGCTCGGGGTTGAATTTTGGTTTTCATTAAAGATCGAAGCTTTATTATTCGGAATTATTTCCTATGGGTTTTATTTATGTTATTAAGTTATTTTGGCTAGATTCGAGACGTCTAGAGGTTGTTTCCCATGGGAAGGTCTATTTAGAGTATTGATTTAGCTTCTTTGAGGTAAGTATCTTGCCTAATATTGTGTGGGGGAACTACTCTTTAGGATTTGGATTGATTATATTGTTTGAGTTATTTGGAAGACGTGTACATGAAGTGGTGAGTGTATACCCGGCTTATATGTGGCAAAATTG